GTTTACTAGGCTTATGCCAGAAATGAACAACTTGTAAAATAGTAAGTCTCCCTCTTGGGGACAAGACAGGGAAATCTCCCAGAACAAGGGTGTGTTTCTTCATATGAGACTGCTGTTCTGCACAGTTCGTGTTGAAGAGTTGCTGGATGGAATAAAAGAGCGGATCCCCACCTTCCAGGGTGTGAAGTTCAGTGACACAGACCTCTTGGACCTCGCACAGTGTATAAACAAGAATGAGAGAGAACAGTTTGTATTTCTTTATGGGGTGGATGAGGTAAGAAGCTCCTTAAAAATTATTTCTTCTGTGGCATACTCTTGCTTAGGGAAAAAAGTGACCCTGGACACTCAGTGCCAGGTAGTTTTCCTGCTCCCTCCCACCACCTCTTTTTTTTTTTTTCTTTATTTTGTTACATGAAGTAAATTTTTGTTGTTGTTGTTTTGTTTCTCTCCACCCACCCCAAACTAGCAACTGTTGAGTGCACTGGCAATAGGGGCAAATGGAGCAGTTGGAAGGTCAGTATGGCTTGGACTCCTTTCCCTCAACACACACACTGTAGTGTTGTATCTTCCACTATCTACACAGTGTTTCTCTAACTATCTTCTGTCACCACAGTGGAGGATTTTGCAGGGTAGGGCTGTACAGCAGCAAGCAGACTGAGCTAGCTCCAGTGCTAGCGATGGGACAGTCGTATAACCTGGGATCTTGGATTATGTTTGTTTGGGTGATTATTGCTGCAGTCTATAAGCTCACTCAAAGGTTTCAACATGTTTCTTTATCCTCATGGCAACTTTTTGAAGTAGGGAATTGCTTTCGTCATTATATTGGTTAAAATAATTAGTTTGCATGAGAAGTCTGTGACGAAAAGGGCTCTGCTGAGTTTAATTTCTGATTCGTCTTCTGCCCCTCATACCAGGCTGCTTAGATGAATTACTGTGTGATATCCGTGTTCTTGTGTAGATGATCTGTTAAATGAACAAGCAACTGGAAAATTAAGTGATTGACTTTCTGTATTGCTTAATTGTGTCTTTTTATTTTTAATTTTGAAAAGGAGTTCCATTTGGAAAGAACTGGGAAGAGAAATCTGCTGTCTAAACTCTTCTGTAGGGCTTGGCATACTTTAGATGCTTGACAGTATAAACCACACATAGATTGCATGAATCTCTATCATAATAATGGCATTCTTACAATGTCAACAGCAAAAGCCTGTGGCTACTTCTTTGTTTCAGTGGTTCTAAGCTCCTCCTTTGCATTTACTGATTCTATTTTTGGTTTGGTATTTTTCTGGCAGTACATACAACTATTTGGGCCGAAAAGCCAATCTGATGTTGCAAGCCTTTGCAAAGCCAGACCTTGCGTTAGCACAGAAGTATCAGGTACAGTATCTCCACTGTCCCTACTAGGAGCAGCCTTCTTTCTCCTCTAGCTTTACTGGGGCTGATTGCCATGTGGTTTTGTTGTCCATGTCCTGAGGTAGCTTTATTAAAGCCAACTTCTTTCAGCTCCAACCCCCCTGCTTGTTATTAATCTCTCCTCACCTTTTTGTCCAGTCCTTACTAACTTCTAAACGAGATTGGCCTTACTTATCCTTCAACTCTCTGATCTCATCGATGCAGAGTGAGCAAGGGCCTAGCCTTTTTCCTTGGACAAGCCCACAATGGACTTGGAATGGACACAATGGACTGGGAATATTCTGGGGATACCTTACATGATGTAGGGCAGAAAGCTGTCCCAAATCAGCTCTGCCTTGACCCCTCTTGGTCTTGGGCAGCTTGAAGATTTGTGAGGAGTTCTGAGCAATCACTATATCATCTTGCTGTGGTTTAACCCCAGCTGGCAACTAAGCTCCACACAGCTGCTCGCTTGCTCCTCCCTTCTGCCTCCCTGGTGGCATGGGGATGAGAATTGGAAAAAAAAAAGTAAAACTTGTGGGTTGAAATAAGAACAGTTTACTAATTGAAATAAAATAAAATATAATAATAATTGTAATTAAAAGGAAGATAACAAAAAGAGAGAGAAATGAAACCCAAGAAAGACAAGTGATGCACAATGTAATTGCTCACCACCTGCTGAGTGATGCCCAGCCAGTCCCCGAGCAGTGACCCCTGCCCCCACCAACTCCCCCCAGTTTATATACTGAGCATGACGTTCTGTGGTCTGGAATAGCCCTTTGGCTCATTTGGGTCAGCTGTCCTGGCTGTGTCCCCTCCCAGCTTCTTGTGCACCTCCTCACTGGCAGAGCATGGGAAACTGAAAAATCTTTTCCTTAGGATAAGCGCTAGTAGCAACAACTAAAACATCAGTGTGTTATCAACATTACTCTTGTACTAAATCTAAACCATGGCACTGTACCAGCTACTAGGAAGAAAATTAACTCTATCCGAGCCAAAACCAGGACAAATCTATACCCAATGTTTTTATGGGACATTTGAGGCATCCTTCTTTTGTCTTAAAATAGAAGTGACTGCAGGATGAAGGTCTGAGAGATGTCTGAAGGATGATCTGCTCTGGGAAGTCTCTTCAGTAGGCAGTGGATATTCAGATTTGTAAACCTTTAGAGCCTGATATGAGACTTACCAGTGATCTCGGACTCCTTGCAGTGAGAGACAGCTTGAACATGAGTGATACGTGATAGACTGAGAGGGAGTGATGGTTTTCTTATATCCCTCCCTCCCTCCCCTATTCTAATGGAATTCAATTACTATTTCCCATAGACTGGCCAGGTGGCCATGGGCTTTTCTCAGAGCTGTGCAACACTTGTATAAGATGTAAATATCATAATAGCTCTAGATGCTTTTACATCTTAAAATTTGAAGGTGTTAATGAACTACTGTCTGTCTTTTCTAGTTTCTCACTGGGGAATTTCTCAACTTTGTCATCAAACTAGGTAAGTCCTACACTGCCTGTTTCCCTTCTTATATCTAAAAATGCAGACTTGGTGCTCCAGAAACTCTCACATTGCTGTACCCTCAGCACTTCCTTCCCAAAAAATTTTGCAGTAAGAAAATGTTACGTCTGCTGTTTTCTGAGTTAGTAGCAGCTGGGAGCTCAACAAAGGGAGCTGACCAGGCATCCCCAACAGAGTGCACTATCACTTCCTTCCTTCTTCTGTGAAATCTCACAGCTTTAAAGCTGTGACTCTGGGATTTACCCTTTTTCTTATCCTGACTCTTTCTGTGGGTTGGTTGTTGTTGTTGTTGTTCTGTCTCCAAAAGCTCATTTCTAGCTTTGTTTCTACAGTGTAATTTTTCTGAAATGGTGGTGCTCCAGTAGGAAAACAGCTCTGATACTTGACTCTCCTGCCTTGCTATAAATTAATAATAACTCTGTTCAAGGCTGTACAAGGCCAAAGCATTTTAAAACGGAATGATTTTTAGAAACAAAACCAAGTTTTAATGTAAAAAGCAATTAAAACCAATCAAGTCAGAGTAGCACAGGGAGATGGAATTGGACATTTCATGGTTTTCACTTAATGAAGAGAACTGTTCACTGTAGTTTTGCTGTACATATGCAAGCCCCAGTGAGTCTAGCTGAGCTTTAGTGCTTGGTTGTATTTCTTGCATTAAAAGTCAGAGGAAATGCATCATTATTTAGCCTTATAGATAAAGAGGCAAACACCAAATTTCCAGAGGTACATAAGGAGACTTGAATTATGGACAGAGAGGCCTCTTGAAGTGGTTCCCAGGGTGGTTTGAGCTTGTACTCAATGTCATTGTCACATGCCAGCAGGATGTTGCTACTCCCAGGGCTTGGCTTTATGTGAGTCTACATCAGGGGATAGCTGTGAAGCTGCAAACATAGGGTTGCTGTGATGACATATTGGCTGGGGTAGCACAGCCTGCCAGCGAAGGCAAGTTTGAAGTGGCCTGATTTTTGCTTGTTTTACCTATGGAGGACTCGCACCGTCTTTTCTGTTGTTAAGGCTGTGTGGCAATACATTTTAGCAAGGAGAGGAACACACGTACAGCCCTGGTTATCTGTAAAACTGACACAGCAGTTTGTAAAGTGCATGTCTAAGAATATACTCTGCTTGGTATATTTAGGAGGGAAACAATAATGGTATAATATATAAATAAATGCAATAAGTAGGTGTAATTTTTACTGTAATGTCTTTCCTGTCTGCAAGCACAATCTCTTCTTAGTTACGCTATTCTCACTTCTGAGAAGTGCTGAAAGCCTGGTCTATTCTGGATTACACAGGAACTCTATGCTTCTGCTTTTTTGGACACCTGTATAGAGACTGCTTTAAGCAAAATGATCTGTAAATGTCCTGATTTTGCTTTTGTCCACCCAGGTTTTGGTGTTGCACAGACTAAAGCTATAATGAGTTTTGTTTCTGGCATTCCTATGGGACCTCCACGGCTTCCGCTTGTTGATGCCTCTGAGGAGTTCATTGTCAAGGCCAAAGCCAAGCTGGATAGCATTATGTGGCCTGATGGTGACTGATATTCACTTCCGTGTCCATCTGGAAGTGGAGGCTCCTTTTCTGGGATTCACTGTCATGTGGCACCTTCCCCACGTGATGGGCTGTGATTTCTTTCAGGGAACTGGCAGTGCGCCTGAGCCCCTTCCTGTTAGGGCTGGCTTTGTTGGTGCACGTGTAGTCACCTTTTTGTGTAACTTTACTCCCCTCCCCTGGAGCTCTGCACATTGCAGGACTAGCTGTTATCTTTTTAATTAAAAAAAAGCAAATCTTCCCCAGTTGGAGGATACTGACTCGTTTTGTGTAGAAAGCAGGAAGATCTGTCTCCACCCTCCCTTCAGTTAGATTATGTCTTCTCCTCTACCTTCATGAGCACAGCGCTGTGTGTTTAAGCACTGGTACAACCCCATCTGTTTGTCAGAATCGTTGGGACACTGACCGTGCATGCAAGATCCCGCTTTTGTCTTACTGCGTTTATACACCTTTAGTTAATGCAAAATTAAAAAACCAACCAACCAGCCTTTTGCAATGGAAAGCCTTTGGCTCTCTAATAAATAGGTATTCTCCACTTTCTTCCTTATGACAAAAATAAAGCCACAACTGAGCGAGATCAGCCCCGGCTGCCGTGGGTATGTGCAGGGGCTCGCCGCCCGTGGGCCGGCGGCAGCTGAGGCCTGGGGAGCCCCTTCTCCTCCGGCGCCACGGGAACTACTCCCTAGGCCCTTTTGTTGTGACCGAGCATCTCAGTCCAGGGCCCAGCTGAGCGGCGCGTAGAGGAGGGGTGAATTTTCCTGACAGGCCCCAATTACTTTGCTCCAGTCTACGCTCTGCCACGCCCGGGAGCGCCTTGTGTGCGCGGCGGCCCTGCTGTGGTGCTGAAGAAGAGGAGCGCAGCAACGCGCCATCGCTGCCTGCTCCCGCCCTGGGGCTCGCTGAGGAGGCTTTGCGGCCCGCCGCGGCCGCCGTCGCTGCGCATGCGCGGGCGCTGCCGTGAGGCGCGGG